AAAAAAAAAAAAGAAAACTATACAAATTATTATAAGATCTAATATTAATTTCAAAAGAAAAAAGGTTTAAAAATAAATTTAAAAGAAAATAATTAAATATTACCTATTTAAGATGTGTCATTCGAGTCTTCATATTATAGAACTAAACAATTGTTTAGTCGGTTGATTTTTATAATATACCCTCTTTGAATGAGGATAATCATAGAATTCACTAAGAGTTCTTCTTCCATTTTATCTCGAAAGGAGTTTTAAAAGCTTCTTTAGAGGGAGCGTCTGGTAATTGCAGTTGGAATGAGAAGTATCCAAATGAGATGAATCAATGCATCAATCAAATTATAGTATCATGCTTTCTCTATCTCAACTAATCGCCGCCATAAATCAGAAATGATAGAGATATTTTGGAACATTTTGTTTTGGACATCATGAACTTGTAATACTCTAACTGACTCGTCAAATAATGTAGCTCTTGTCCATTGAAATTGTTGGGGTAGAATTTCTCGACAAGATTATAAATAACATCCTCATTAAACAACTTGAAGTTGTCTGGAGGCTCCATTGCAGAGCTAAACCTAAGAAGTTCTACAACCCCCTCGTTAAATATATAAGTAAACTCTTCCACTTGAAAATCAACCGTCGCAATGTCAAAGTGGTAAGGATGATCAACTCTAGTAGGAAATTTCTATTGCCAAGAACGTCCCCTACAAGATCGATAACTAATACCATATCCGGCATCATACGCCCGATTAACATACCAAGGTTCATTGACAAGCTTAAAGAGGGTGAAGTTTACACATTAAAAAATTATCAAGTGGAGAGCAATATTGGCAAGTCCACTATCGGCACTTAACGAATCATTATTCATGGAAAAACCGAACACATACACATTACGACATCGTTTCCATTGTTTCATTTCTCTTTTAGGGAATTTTCGACATTGCGTGATGTTGGCAACTGCGATAAATAAATGCTATTTGGCTAGTCCAATAATCTTTTTTATTCTATGTTTTGTATTTATTTATTTTATTTATACATCTTGAAAATGTTTATTTTATTTATTTTTATTAATGTATCTTGTGGTTAGATGTTATTGGATTGGTTGTAGAGACTAATCCAATTCAAATTAAGAACATGAAAGGAAGAGTCGGTCCTAAACTTCATAAGGCCGGCGAAATGTGCTAAATATTTCATTTTTTTAAAAGTTCCTTACAAAAATCATAATGTTACTAGCTATAATAAATGTTGTGGAATTTAAAATATACTTATAACTAAATTTCATATCTTAAATATATCAAACGAAAAGGAGGGAGGAAATATACCATTTCTTAAAAAAAAAAATAAACATTAAAACTCAAAATATTTTATTTACTTAAATAATTGACTCTTCTAATGACTATCAATAACATTATTTAATTGTGCCTCACGAAATAGCATTTTGTTTATTCAAGCAAGAAGATAACATTTAAAAAAAATGAATGAAAAAAATATAAAAAAGTGTGTAAAAATGTATTATTAATTTTACTGAAAATAATTAATAATTATTTTTTCATGAAATATTTCAAATGAGAAAAAAAAAAAAACAACTAAATACATTTACTAAAGAATTAAGAAAGAAATCATTACTAAAACTACTTTTTATATAATTAATATATACATCAATAATTAATAATAATGGGCCCTAAGGTAAGTGGGGGCCCTAGGCGGTCGCCCGGCTCGCCCTACCCCGGGTCAGACTCTGGTGAAAGGAGTTCTGACCCAAATGATAATTTCCACTCTTATGAATTTGGAGTAAGTTGATTCGCTTTAGCTTTGTACTCTCCCGACTTATTGGCATGTTTTGCATGTAATTATTTATCATACATAAATATTTTTAGCGGAATTACTAAGAGCAGTGTTGTTTGGGGAGAGTACGTAGATCAATTCATTGCTTTAGAGAGAATCACAATTTAGAGACCAATCAACCATTTGTGTTGATTATTCAAATGTATCATTCTACGCCTGGGAGAGGTAATTCGAATTTTATATATTTATTTTTTTTCATGATTATATTTCGGTTTCCTAATTATTACAACCGATTTTTTATTAAATATAATCATGCATATATTATTATTTCAATTAAAATTTCATCATTTTATTCATGTTATTCTTCTTTATCTTTTGTCTGTCTAATTCCTAGGCTATTTGAAATGTTTTATTTCAAAATTAAACCATATATATAATATTTATAATTTAATTATAAATCAAAAAATAATACAATTTAGAAATCAATGAAAAAATAAACTAAAGAAATGAATCATTCACAAACTGTAAAATTTACAACGTTATACAATTAAAATAAAAAAATATATAATATAAAAATAAAATGAAATTTGAAAATAATTGGGACAATTTTCTCTAATTTTTATAAAATCACAATGATTTTGTTAATTTTGAATGAATCATATCCTTTGTTAAAAGCAAACACCTGTCAAGTTAGTTGGGCCAAACTTTCGGCCCATATGACTAGTCATGGAATGCTCAACCTAGTCTCCGTCAGCCCATATTCTTGGTTAAAAGCAAACACCGGTCAAGTTAGTTGGGCCAAACTTGCGGCCCATATGACCACATGGAATGCTCAACCTAGTATCCGTCGGCCCTAAACCTTTAAACTCGGCCAGTTATCGACCAATCAAATCAAATATCTATTCTTTGAACGCCGTGACAGCTGGACTATTCGTGATGCTGAAATTATTAAACTCGGAAAAGAAAAAGGTGGGCTTATGTTACAATTTTTTTTTTTTAACACTGCAGGTGCATTTTTGAAAAAATATAAAAAAATAGAAATTTCAAGTTAAATGCTACTTTAAATTTCGAGTTAAGTCTCTAGATTAATTTATTCCCTCTGCACTTCCTACCCTCAAAAACTTTTTCCATTTCACTCCTCATATATAATGTAATGTATTTATTATTCATTTATTTTGCATAATTTCTGAAAAATTCAAATCGTCTTTGTTCATTTTTCTCTCCTCGCCATATCGCCTCCTTCTCTCTCCTCGCCATAGCTGCTCTCTCTGCTCTCTCTCTCTGAAAAAATCGATTGCTTTGTTAGTCTCCATAGGTCCTCGCCATATTCTGCCCTCTCTCTCTCCTCGGTCTCATCGTTCATCACCATCGCCATCTTCGTCTCTCTCTCTCTGTCTCTCGCCCTCTCGCTGTTCGTCTCTCTGTGAAGCAATGACCGGCTCCAAAAAGAAATCTCCATCAAACCGTCCTCCTCGACACCCACGAAGGCATTACCAAGCTCAAAGGTAATTTTTGATTTTTGGGCTTTGTTCATAATTTTAGGGTTTTTTTCAATTTAGGGGTTGAATTCAAAAATTAGGGTTTTTTTTTCAATTTATGACTTGAATTCGAAATTAGGGTCTATACAGTAAGCAAGGTAAGATTTTGGGGATTTTTTTTTCAACAATTTTGAATTTTTCTTGAATTCGAAATTTGGGGATTTTTTTCAAAAATATGGATATTT